CCTGATTTCTCCAGAGGTAAAATTAAACAATTTGCAATCATGCTGTTGACAGTATTTGTTATGCAGATGGAATGTTAGGATAACTTCATTTACATTTCATGCGATTTGCCATTTTGCTTGCACCTGAAAATTTTATATCCCAGCTAATGGCGGAAACTACACACCATAGTTTTATGGTTAAAAATCGACATTTTGACAGACCTACATGTGCAAAATTAGTTTTTTATCGTACAATTATATTAATGTGATCCTGCGCTCATGATTACAACAGTGCTACATGTGCGAATTTCTTTCCCAGTTTTTTTTTGTTTTGTCTCCTTTCACGTCGAGCAATCTGGTTAGTTGAAACACTTAAGCATCCACGGCTGGGTGCAAAACTCTATAGGATGTAATGAAACTCCTCTGATGATTCAAAATTTTGCTGCGACCGAAGTGGCATAAATTTATATCTTGAAAGAAGTATTCCACCACAAATGATAGACTTGAGCGAATTGTTCCCATTTTATACGACCAACATTAGAGTGACACATCTTTCGGTATATCACTCGTTATTGTCTTCATAATTCGGAGGCATTTTAAGAGTAAAAGCCAAATAAACGATCAAAAACGATTGTTCGTACGCATTTTATCACCGTATGGAATTTGTAAGACGTGGTAATGAGCTACAGAATGTATCAAAACTGGTTTAATTATAAATAGCGGTTGATGAATTTATGCCCCTAGTTTGGGGGTATTGCTTAAAACCCCCAGCTAGAATCAAGGTTGAAAAGTGTGCTCTAAAGTAATCATAGAATCGGAAAAACTTATCTACACAGTATAAAACCTCAAATTAGAAAGTCTTGTCTCAATTTTGAAGAATCTGCGTATTGTATATTGTGAAATATATGCAATGAGCGACTTGTATTAGTGGCAATGCAGGCACAGACAGCGATATCTTACTCATATAGTACACTCATTTCACAGTGCCATTTTGCATGACATTCGGAGCTGTGTGAAGCAACAACAGAGACCATAGAGAACAGTTTGGATTGTGTCTACTGGTGGTAAACCACTGAGAGGAACTGGCAGAGTTCACTGTCGGTTTGCATTTCGAAGATTTTGGTCTTCGTGTGTGTGAAAGGAGTCTTTAAAATAGCGTTGATTGATAAATGTTCAGTACACGTTCATAGAATTATTTGATTCGTGATAATTAACGTATTAAATAAAGCGTACGGAGTGAAAAGCCAGTGCAAACCTCCTTAAAAAAGGTGTGTGGTGATCGTATGTTTCTGACGTATGTTTCAATTTATCTTCAAAATACGGGGACATCGAATTAATTTACGGCTGTATCTTATCGTGTGGGCTGCAAAGGACAAAATCAAAGACTTACTTTCAAAGGAGTTGACACGTTCGCCGTTTCCAATCCCTCTGAGTCGGTCGCAAGTCTGTTCGCTTAACCCATGTCCCAAGATGAACTTAAGACATTCTTCTGAGCTGCCACAAGCCTAAAGACCCCGCTAGGATGGACTAAAACATAAGGCAGTTTTTTGGATTCCGCGCCCCATTTAGCGGTCAGAACTGTTCGTCACACAGAGCATGAGATCAGATAGGTATAGCTGTTTATAGGTAGATGCTTATAACTGTTTTGTTTTTAGTGTTGTTGAGATACTTTTTACCAGCAAGACATGGTACTTCATTTATTATACTGTTTCTCAAACTGCTCTTCAACTACTAATGTGTTCTGCTTATAGGTTTCCAAGGCCGGTAGATGCGCCAGTAACAAGCAACACACCAAAATCCGAGAGAAGAGAACAGACGGTTAATTGAGTTACAAACAATACGCTTGTTCACTCAGCTGTTTCGTCTAGTCGCTTTTACCGACAGTTCGTTCGCCTTATTCCTATGATCGTTGTGCATGCTAACATGCAGCAATATTATGCAAAGCCTATTTTCCGTTCAGAACTGCTGAGTAAAAGAAAACGAATGCCTGTAAGGGGAATAGCTGTTTCTGCTTTAGGGTGGATATACGACGTTATAGCCGCAAAATTATGTTTATCTCTGGCCTATTCCTAAGGATTCCTTATTTCTGATGTATAAAATCTATTACTCCAGGGACTGGAGTGTTGTGCGTTTATCCCCCGTTGACCAAAGAATCTACACGCTGCACACCAATCTTCAAAATAGACTGCTTCTCTCATTCGGTCTAAATAGATTATATAACCGTTTATTCTGAATTGGTGGAGGGGAAGTTCAGATGTCTCATGCGGATTATTTATAACAGTTGATGCAGCAACGTGAATGTGGAAGCGTGATTTTACCAAATTTGATCTTATCGCTTGGTCACCTGTAAAACCAAATGCTTCAAAAAGCGATTGCATCATTAGACGTAGAATCACACGTAATGAGACTAGCGGTCAGTCTTCGATTCCCAAATGTGAATTAAATGAGGTGCATATTTGAGCTTCATCTTCATGAAATCTGCTAATGTTAATGCACATGTGTACGGTTGTGATAGAAGAAATGATCGCCGCAATATCAAACCAAGTATTTAAGGAGGCGAACATTTGAAATGGCATATCAACTAAGGTATCTTAACATTTCGGCTTCGTCCAGTTGAGCAGATGTATAGAATTCTGTTATATCAAATAGTTTGTATCCATTTCACTATGACTGGTTAGCGAGACGAAAATCGCTGTGGGCCCGTCTCAGGTATACTTCACAGTCTTCAAATGTTCACTGGTCACTATCTATCAGTTCTGGGCATAATGTTGGGCCACTATCCACCCAAAAATAAATAAACTTCTATTCCCGATATTATGGTGTGTTATTTAGAAATTATCGGGCAGTGTAAGACATTCCCATCTTGGGGATGTATGTTGATTGGATGCACAGTTGGTATCCCACTTTGGTTGAGATCAGTCTTAAATGTGCGCAATTCAAGATGATCCAACGTTTGAATCTTCAAACAACAAAGCCCTGTGTATTATTGTTTCCACAATTCTTATAACTGGTTTTGAAGTAGTCACCTAATAAAGTTGCGTATTGCAATATATTCTTACGGCATGTGTCACTACGCAGATTCTACAGAATAGACCTTTTAATTCGATTATTGTAGCTGTGGTATGCATGCGGTTGTGGAATAAGCAGCTAATAAGTAAGATCATTTTAACCAGCTTGGCCACCGTCGTCAACGTTTCAGCAGGTAACCAATCATCGAAGCCATTAGCAGCATGGAGCTACTTCCGGACTACCTTGCTTATCGGTATATTACAGTTTCTAATCGTTCGTCTTTCTATTTGACGGTACAGTTTGTGGGACCATGTATAATATGCAAATGTCGGTCCTTACACGAAGAACTACCACAATATACTTGCCGCTGAACTTCTTGTTTGTCCTTAGCAAATATTTGCTTTCTGCTATAAAACCTCACACAATATATTTTAGAGATTCGTGATCTTAAATAAACGTTGGACTACGGAGAAAGAGCACGCGTCTACTTCGTGGCGTTTTAACTTTTGAATTTTGGTATCCTCGAACTGGGGAACAAATTCTCCTTATAAAAACAGTTGTTGCCCGATGTTTTTCCGCTGCTGAGATGAACATTTATTTACTTCCCTTTTGATCATGACTTCACTTAACTTGACGGTATTCGTACCAGGTCAATGGATTTCTGAACGTAAAACTTTGCTTTACTATAGATTTTCACCATGTTTGCAGGATCCATATTTCGTGTTACATGCGCCACTGGTACCTAAACATTCTTACAGTGACAAATTTTTTGACGTTTGCATTCAAACTAAATTTTCAAACCCGAGAATCTCCTTATTTGATTCTAACTGAAGTTAATGCAGAACTTTCATGGTATTTCCATTCTTCGTTGATTATCAATTTCAAGTGATGTATAAGTGGGTGGAAATTTTTCCTATCTTATCCGTTGATGAGAAATCCGATAGAATTTTCTGAAGCATTCTTGGGGTGTAGTTCACATTAGTGTGTATAAAACGGTACTTAGCCAGAAGAGGTCGGAGATAATTGTGGTCACGCGCCTGTGTAAAACCATACGCTGGCGGTATGGAAAGCAATTTCGCTCATATACCTTAGAAATTCACTTCATCACAGACTACTAAAAGAGTGAACGCAATAGGAAAACCTATTTGGTTGAACACTATAGCCCATTGAACAGGTATATCCAGAAGCTGCCTGAAGAAAACGGTAGGGACATTGTGCCATAAGTGGTTTCGGATTTTGAGATTACACTTCGCCAATCTGTAGCTCGGCAAATGCAGCTATAATACGAGGCGAATTTCCGGGGTTCGGGTTTTATTTAATAAGGCTGACAAAGCTCATGAGAGGACAACTAGTTTACTTTATCGTTCTTAGTTAGTCACTACACATCGTCTAGCTCCGCAAGTGATAAACCAGTGCGCTCTGCTGAAACTTGTGATTCACGGCACACATGCGGCTTTTTGTTTCTCCTTTCAATTATTTTGACTTGTAGACAACCAGTGTAATCCGATCGAAATAGCATGGATATGACGTATAACAGAAAGCATCTAGAAAACATTGATGATTGTCAAATGACATGCAATCGAAGAACAGAACCAATATGGACTGACGTATCAATTGCGAATTTTTTATGTGACTGAAAGCTTTTTTCAACCTTGGGCCACCGATTTTTTTATAATCATCTGAAGTGATATACAGTTCATTCTTTCGAATAATTATTAAGTAAAAATCTACAGGATGGAACTGAGATTTTTAGGCATCCACCGGTCATCGACAATGCCTTATTAACTACTGTAAATTTTTCACGTCTACCTCAGGTATGTGAACGCTAAATGGGTGATAAAACCTGATTGGTTGAACACTGTCATCATGATGTGTACCAAACTGAGCGCATCCCTATTGGTGACTGATAGGATTTATCGATTGGCAAGGTATTTTCAATGAACAAAAAGGCTTCTTCCATTCTGGTTGGGATTTTTTTCAAACATGACTCTTTCCTGTTGATTTAAAAGCCTCCCAGACATGAGAGCTTACGGACTGGCGCTTCCCTATCGTTCATATACCGACGTAACAGTGCCCGGGATACGAATTATTATACGTCTTTTTGTGATGGTTCTGATCATTTCCTCAATGTTTAATGTGACACGCAGTATCAACGAAAATGTGCCATTTATATCAAAAAAACTAAACAGTAGCTGCTCCACGTCATCATCTATATGGCCGAGTTTTTACACACTTTCCGCCGTCAAACGGATACTTACCCTTTCGATTCTCCCAACAGCAGATGCAAGAGCAGTAGACTCATCATTTCCTAACCCACCGGCCTACTTCCGCGACCAAGAACATATGCAAAATTATGTCCGAGCGTTAAATTATTACTTCCAAGTGTTTGGAAGACCAAGGTAAGCAAAACAAAAGGAAAAAATGCTTTGCAGTTGTCGGGACCATTTTCCTCTGCATCAGTACTTGTAAGCCAAGTTGCATCACATCTGTTTTTATCTGTTTAAGATAGAGGTGACTAAAATACGGCTTGTGGGCTAAACAACTTTATATGAACGCGCTAAAATACACGTGGAATTAGTGCTAGCTTCTATACATAAAGTTCCTTGGGCCCGGTACATTATCTGGGGCTAAAACTCGTAATCAGTCACGGTGGACACAGTGCATGTATTTTTATACTACACAGTTTTCCCAATATGCACACCAATTCACCTTGTGCACTTCACTTAAACACAATGCTATCAGTTAACCAAAAGCTGCTATTTTTTGGGAACCCCATCGCATCTTCCGAAATGTGTGAAAATTTCTCAAATCGAATAATAATCAACAGTATCTCCCATCTTCGTCACCAACATCACTTTCATTATCAGCAATAAACTTGGGAAATTTAATGTCTCCTTATGTTTTTACCGGTTTCCAAAAGGAACTTTTTGAAAAAGAAGCACAGCGAAGTTCGCCCTAACTTTCGTAAGATACAGAAAAGAATGAAATTTTAACTTCTTTCAACCTTTATGATATTTACAGTAAAAAGTGTATTTGGGAATATCCAGAAGGATATGTTACGTTGCAATGGTGCTGCAGGCGTCCAGAAGAAATATCTTGACTACCACTTGCATGATTTAGGCGATGCAGACAATTTTCAATAACAGGCCTAATGATTCTATTATTAAGATCTTTAATGTGCTTTGGTGCCAGTCGTGAAAAGGTAGAATGTGATGCAGTAAATCTTGAAATGAGACATCCGCTATCAGTCCAGTGGAGGGGGGTACGATGGATTCTTTGTGAAGTTCAAGTGCATAGGCGTAGAGTGGATAGCACGGTTTTTGGGAAGCCCGTATGGTAGATCACACTCAAGGCTAAGGAAACATTGGCTGGTTGAATCCAAATCTTTCTTAGATAGAACCTTCCAGGTTTTTTGTTTGGATAGTCCGCGTGCGGTTATCTAAATTTGGTTGACTCGCTTATAACAATATGGGAACTGATATTTTGCACAACAAGAGCTTTCTTCAGGGCAACTAAATTAAGTGATCTAACATGCACTCAGAGTATAGATTGACAGAAGCAGCTTCGAGGTAATTCATTAGTAAAAGAATATTAATCTTGATCGTAAAACAGTGCGTTTGAATGTTGTTACTTGTCATCAGGAAACGTTTACTTGCCATTTCTGTTTACATGCAATTAATGGTTCCGAAGCCAAAGTTGCATATAAAATTACTTACCGTTTGGAAAATAAGAGTTACAAATTTTTGGAGGCACTTTTGACCTATGAACAGACTGACATTCACTTCTCAGGTGTATTGTATCAACAGCCACAACCGCAGCAGTAAAAAAATCACACTTGTTCCACTTTTGAAGCAACATATTGAAAGCGATGAATCTAGTTTATTCAGGATTTCATTGCCCACTACTTATGATAACAGTAAAGTAGGAAACACGGGCAATTACATATTTTTGCACAATTGACTTTTACTTTCCAAGAAAGTTATTAGGAACACTCTCGGGTCCAGCCAATTCTACTTTTCCATGTCCAAAACGGAAACTGCTTGCCATATCGAAGCAAAACTCAAGAACTGCAATGACTTTTGCCAGCACATGCGTGTCAACCCGTGGGCAACCACACCACTTCACATTCAAGAAGTCGTGGGACAGAATTTATCACCCCGACCACGCGTCGCTACTTGGAAGGTCCAGCAGGCAACCATGTTTTTTTATCAGCATATACTACGCAAGACCTCTAGTGTAGTCACATTATTAGTCATCATTATCATTGCCGTAACTGGTAAACGATCTTCTAAACGTCTTGGCATATTGGGACTGCCTTTCAGGCAGAAAATGCTATTGGTTTTTTTAAATTTGGTCACAATACACAGAGGAACTAGTAGCTTGCTTAAGTCACGTAACAGGCAAAAATAATTTGTAGAAGAACGCCAATAAAGTCCCTGCTGTGTCCTCTGTAGTAAAAAGTCAACAACAAGCAAATGTTCTATTCACTAAAATCTAGAATCCTCCGTTTTTCATGTTAACTGAAATATATTAATAAATGTTTCTTCTCCTGGAAATAGATGCCTTAGAAGTCGAGTTTCTATGTGGTATGGTACGGTAGACGTTTTTAGTAAAAATGCCAAAAAATTACATCTTATTAATGTTATGTTAGGCAATCTTGGTGAATCAATTAAGAATTTTTAATTGTTGTAAATTCATTACGAGATTTGACTTCATATTCTCAGTGAATTAACGTGCCCATAGATACGTCTGGGCGAAACTCGACGAATCGTTCAAGTGAAGTAGTGCATTTTAGTTTTTGCTCAGTAGGAGTACTTCAGCTTTTGCCTAATTGGCAATTTCTGCTTTGATTTTTATACACTGACTTGTAAAGTCCAGAAAAAGAATCACTTAAAACAAAAAAGATCAAACTTTTCACTTTTCTCATTTTAGTACGGAAATTTTTGTAATGATTCGAAACAAGAGGCGAAAACACTTCGTAACAATTGAGGGCACAGTACAAATTGAGATAGAAATGTAAATAGACTAGTGAGTGCAACTCATGTGTTCCCCGAGAAACAAAACAGATGCCTCTTCTGGAATGTAGGATGCGTGTTTTAGAATACTGAAGAAGCCTAATCAGTTCTTCATGCAATGCAGCAAAGTGATCACGATTTTAGCGTTGCCCCGTAAGGATTTGGAGTGAAACAAGCGTTGTGGTGATATTAGACGTAGAGCCATCTAAACACTCCACAAAAATGGCTCACTATATTTACTTAAAATTCATGCTGATGGATAAATTTTTGAATTCTGTTGGAATTAGAGCCATAAAGAATAGTCATGAAGAATGCAATTGTCCACACTTGGCGTTTTCTAAGCAATACAACCGGAATATCCCTGAAGAAACTACTACGCCTGTGTGCAGTTTTAGCTTGAGCTGGTCTCATCTGTGTGTCTGAGGCGACATCATACTCGTCCTTGTAGTTGATGAATAATTGAAAATATATCTACTCCAAAACCCAAAAAGCACGATGCCGTTACTGAATCCAAATTTGAGCACTTAACGCACTGTATCGCTGGGTACATGTTCTTCCAACTGGGTTACACAACAAACTGTCGGTAAAGACTGTCCCATTTAATAATTCAGCTAAACGTAAGATAGTAGACTATTTTGTTGGCTATGATTGCACTCGTTTGTACACTTATCGCATATCAGGGCCACCGTGCCAGATAGTCACATCAGTTATTAATCATTCCGTCAGTTGGTATGATTGGGAATAGTTTGTGAACGGTAGAGAGCACAGTGGACCTTTTTACAACGTTCAGTTCATGCTTAGCTGAACAAACCACGTGGTCGTCTGACATGGGAAAACTTTCCTTTGCCTCCAGATATTTTTCCCTGAGATTAACACCGTGGGAGCCTAGTATGATTAACCCTCGATTTTCTGACACATCAAACAAGAAACAATTCACTGAGAAGTAGGTTCGATCTTTTTGCTAACAATAAGTATGAACTATTCAGCCGAATTTCTCTATATCCACATGAATGTTGTTCCTGGGAAGCTCTTCACCGTTATCAGGATCAAACAAGCTCACCATTTAGATTGTTGTCTACATCGCAACAATTCGAAGCAGGAAAAACGGGGAGTTTTACCTGATATCAGCAAATACCAATGTTGTCGAGAAACCAGTATCTTCGTTATTCCAGCATAAAATTTCGCGAAACTAAACCGCTTATGAAAGGTTGCTCTATCAGGCCGATTGTTTTGCTCTTGCGCAATGTTGTACAATGCGGTTTGATTTTCGGCATCCACAACAAACTTTTCATCTGACTGGATCCGGCGTTTTGTCATGGGAATCTCCCACTAGAAATGTTTTTTTCAAAGAACAAAATTGCTGTACAAGGCGAGATATTTATAGGGCTTTGCAACACGTTTAGAGGTCAGACTGAGGCATGAGCTGTGCGTAATATCCTTTACCTACAAATTGCGTTTAAAATGTCCTTTTTGTGCAATATTTTGAAGAGAGAAATGTACCACCATATTCCGTTACACGTCATCTTTAAACGAAAACTCGGGCAGCAGAGTAGTGCACATTAGTTTGAATCCTTATAATTCAACAGAAATTTGTATCAGTCCTCCAGAATTCGTGCATCTGCAGTGGTTTTCTGTTAGCGGTTCTTTTTAATTTGGCTTTGTGTACAAAACATTTGCAACATTTTTTGGCTATCCACTAGTAAACTATTTCTTCTATGCCCTAGTAGAATTCCACCTAGATCTTACTGTTTTGCCATTTTCCGTTGCCTTCTTGTGTAAGGCGTTCTACTAATTTGATTGATTGTTTCTCGCTTCTGATCATCCTGGAACTTTCAAGCGTTTTGAGGCATAAAAAATTAGTCATTTACGGGATTTGTATTCAGCTTCAATTTTTTTGCAGGCGTTAACATTTGTGAGGCCCACGTAACTCACCTTTTCCCAAGGTGCCAGAGAGTTGCAGCGCACTTGATGACCTTTCTTGACTACACCAAAAGTTTTCCTGTTTGTAATTAGCATTCAAACCTAGAGAAAATGCTCCATTTAAAAAACAGAGCTGCTCACTTGAGTCGTTTAATTCATAGAAAGTTAGGTATATCAATTGATTTATTGTAGTTTCTTCATTAAGCTGCTGTCACATTGCGTCACTGATAAAAAAATAGTGACGCACAATTTCACCGTTAAACACATTGGTAATGTGCCAAAATACTTAAGGATTACCATCTGTCATGCGAGGCAATATTTATGGATGCAAAAATAACAGAAAAAATCTCTTATAATTGAAAGGTTTTTTAGTTGACGGTCATAAGTGAGATGTATATAGTAAATGCTTAATGCCTTTCTGCTAACTAACAAGATGTCGCCCCCGTGGCTAAACACGAAATTCA